TTTTTTTTTTTTTTTTTTACAGTCAAAAAAAATTTTAAACGTAAAACTGGGGATGACGTTGTAACGTCGAAACACGTAGAGTCGTCAACTTTTTAAAGACCATAGATAGGCCTAAATAAAATGTTTTTAACTGTGTACCAGTTTAACGCTGAATATTATTTATGATTTTAACTTTATACACAAGTGCCAAAATACTATAATTTTCTTTTACTTATGTAATTACGGCTCATATAATTAAATATGACAATGTAGTTTTCAGTTCAACTTTTATGTTAGCAATTGTAAGAAAAACTCCGTTAAAAATTGGTAATAACTTAATATGAACCTTGACATATTAGCCTCGCGTCTAAAATATAAACTATCCCTTATCGCGATACAAATATATTGCAGTTATCCGTCGAAAGTTTCCAACTGATCGTTATTGAAAATGTAAATAAATATAGTTGGGTTACCATAGAAACTAGTTACGTAAGTGTCTTCGTCACGTGATTAATCTCGTAGTTTGGCACAAGCTTGTACATTTCAAAAGTGTTATACTCTGTAAAGAGGATAACTTGGTTAGGTCTTGTTTGTAGTATATTGTGTCGTTCTTAACGTCATGCAGTAAATACGTTGAAATCACTATGGAAACGTTTTGTCAAGGCTTTGTCGTCACGTGATTGTTCCTAGTTTCTTAAGTAAAAAATTGAAGTGTTAAATTCTGTAACTTAAGTCTTCTGCTTCTTTCCGTTACGTCGAAACCAAGAAATCTGTTTCTCCTCACAACAGCCAGGGTAATTAAGATACGTAAGTAAAACGTTATACGTTCCTATTTAAAAGATTGAAAACATAACCGTATCAAAATAGTTTTTACAGTGCAAGTAAAGTACAATATAAGTTTTATGAATCGTAACGATAATTATGTCGTAATATTACTGATAACGTGTATGTTGTCCATATATATTTGATAACATTTATATGGAGTGAACTGTTATTAAAAATGAACAATGTAACGTTTCTACTTATTGGGGATTATAAACGTACTTAATAATTTATTTTATTTTACCTTTTTCTATAGCACTTCTTCTGTACATATTTATATAGAAAAATTATTTTTAACTTTAATTACGAATTTGTTGTAGAAATGTTAATGGTATAAAGGGGGGGGGGGAATAATTCCAAAATGCGTGCATGAACTAATGCCGAATATTAATTTTTTAACAAATACATAAAATAGGTTTACACTGGTAAATACTAATACACACAGAAAACCCTAATAATGGCCTGAAAATGTCCTCAATTATTGGTACTATTATACGAAGCACTTTTAAAAGTCGAACTGCTGTTAGCAGGAAAACATGTGGTTTGTAGCCTATGCGATCCCCTAAGTCTAATTATATATATATATATATATATATATATATATTAGTATTAGATTACTAACTTCTTGATAGTCTAGTGTTGGTAAAAAAATAAGGGTTAGTAACGAATTAAAGATTACGCGTAGGTAATCTGACTTATAGGCTCTTATGTATGACGACTACTGGTATCCGATCGTAAATAATTTACGCTGTCACTGGTAATAAGAATAATGAACGAAAAACGTTTTATTCCTTCAACTAAAAGGTTTACACGTTACAATGAATTAAAACATGGAGAATTAGACAAGTCCAAACGATAGTTTAACTCTAAAAAATGCGCCATTTTATTGCAAAAAATATACTCTCGAAACCAAAGATGCATATGCTATTAATAATTAATGGCATATACCTCAGGTGTTAACATTACATACAATGAAAATGTTTCTTTTTGCTAATTTATTATTCTTGCTATGCTATCAGTCACAGGTTGTTACCAAGTGGGCTGGACTGTGTGTATTATTTGTTACCGAAGAGTTCAAACGAACACATCCAACAGTTACAATAATAATTGAACACATAGAAGTAAGGTGATACATTCCACAAAATAACACGTTAATCGTTGTATCCACCAAACATATATAGTTTTTATTTGAAGTGTTACCAGCTCGTTCACCTCACGAGCTAATTAACAATGCTAACCACAATTTACCTTCTTTCTGGCACCCTAAGACAAAACTAACATCCTTAATTAAACTATTTTTGTGAAACTATGCTATTCTAAATCCAGTTTCAAAACTGGTTATGATGCCCAAGTCATCTCTGAAATGTTTTTTCCGGTAGTTTTAGGTAAGCTATGACAAAGTGTAATAATATTATAGTGTGTTCACACAATTCATTGCAACAATACTTACTTGCTTAATAATGTTATTGTAGTATGTTCATACAATACTATTAATGCCGCTTTTTCTAATTAAAATTTAGTTTTGATCATGACCTAGTGATTAACACAACCTTTCAGGGGATCCGAGGGTCTCAGGTTCGAGACATGGCGATACTAAACACAATTTGATATTCAGCTCTAGGTACGTAATAAAAGTGACAACCGATCTCACTATTCGGATAAGAGTAATCGCCTTGGTTTGCAGTTCAAAATTATATATGGTTATGCCAGACCTATAGGGGTCTCTGTTTAACCCATATTGAAGTGTTGTTCATGTGAACAAATAAGCATTTCTTTATTTTAATATATTAATTAACCGGCGAATATCCTTTAAAACCCTCTAAACGTATTATCAACATGGGCCATAGTGTGGCTGAATGGTTATTATCCTCGGACTACGAATCTGAATTTTTATGGATCACCACTCGGTGATGCAAAAATGAACCCCATTCTTTGGGGCCTTCGGTGCGTTATAAGAGTGACGGTCAAATCCCTCTGTTCGATTATGTCAGCTTAAAAGTTGGGGGTATGTTTTTTAA